GGACAGAAGAAGGAGAAAGAGAGAAATAGACACTTTTTTTATCAGACCCAGAAGGAAGAAATATATGCTTTCTAATCTCAGATTCCAGAAACATAGATGTCTTTTTGCTGTACTGGCCCCTTCTGACTTTAGTATATTTGTTTGTTTCATTTTGGTATGGTATTGCTGGTCAGTAATGACTGAATCGGATAGTTTAGTTCCAAGACAGTTCATACCCATTTTGTGGCTCATGTGTCTGTAAATGTTTGGTATTTTGAATGAAAAAGTAGACTTTTTTGTGGAAGATACATTTAGCACAGTTTTATAGAACTGAGAAGCAAAACATTTTAAGGTACCTCTTCCCCAAATGAAAGGTGTGCAAGAGGAAATACTTTAAAAGTATATTTTTCCTATTTTACTTCACTTAATCAGCAAGTTATAGGGTGTGTAGCGAAAGCCGAAAGTATGGTCAGGTGCAGAGGAGCTTGATTTTGACTGAAGAGCCCAAAACAAGGGAGCAGATGCTAGAGGCCCTATAAAGGATATGCACAGATGAGTTCTTGATTAGGTGTTAGCAGAAGGGAGGCTTCTGGGAATTTGGAGGGTCATGTGGGACTATCCCGGTCCAGTGATTCTTAGGATTTTCACTCATCAGTTCGCTTCCGGCAAAGTTACATGCTGTTGAGTTGGTTCCAACTCATAGTGACCCAGTGTAGGGTTTCCAAAGAGTGACTGGTGGATTTGAACTGTCATCCTTATGGTTATCAGTTCAGTACTTATTCTACAGTGCCATACTAGTAATCCTCAGGCTTTTGTCATTTAAAAAATTACTCTTGTCATTAAAAAAATAACTCCACTGGGGACAGAGCTCTGGAGTCATTTGATAGGTTATAGGAACCACTGACAGTTTCGAGGTGAGTGCATATCTTTATTGGTGGCTTGGGAAGATACATGATTGACAGCAGAGTGAAGGGTAGGTAGAATTGAAAACAGAATGATTAGATAACACAGTGGACTAGGCCCCTAGGTTACCGTTTTATCCTCACAGAATTTAAAGCCCATTGTATGGTGCTGTTTGTTAATGCGCTGGACAGCAAAGTCTGCTTATATGGGGAGGCCTGCAATTCAAGTTCACCACCTGTTCCTTGGGAACCCTATATAGGGTCGCTGTGGGTCAGAACCCAACTCGATATTCCTTAACAAACAGTTTTGTACCCACAGAGCTATGGCTACATAGTCTATTGAGATCATGTTATAGGAATATGAGGGGGCTTGAAAAAAATGGTATAAAAATTCCATTATCTTTTAGTCCCATTTTTCCATGAACTTTTTGAAGCCCCCTCATATTTCATAAATTATAAATATGAATGAGGTTTATTGCCACAGTGGTGATGTTATACTACTTCCTTCATAGGAATTGTTTTCTGTTCTATCTTACTACAGTTTTCTTTAAGAATACTGGACTTGAAGCTGGGCCATTGAAGTTCTAGTTTGGGCTCTAAGACTAACTAGGTAACCTTGGGAAAAGGACTTTACCCTTCATGGTTTTCCTTACCAGAAAACGAGGTCTACTTCATTTCTAAAATTATTCCACATTTATATCTTCTCAGTTCCTGATAGCATTTGTTTAGGGGCGGGGCAAGTGGTAAATAGTGGCTATATATGCAAAATGCTATTTTAAATGGTCCTAGCCCTGAATAGTCAGCTCTGTAGTCCCACTGTTATTTTTTCTTTTTTTTTTTTTTTCCCCGGTTCAAGAACTTTTAATCCCTTATTGAAGATGTTAGAATAAATTTAAAATATTTTTTTTTTCCTCACTCAGGCATATATAATAAATTACATCTCCAAAGGGCACATTCTGCAAGTCTGCTCCTGGCCACCAATTCTTAGTCCTTCTCTTCTTAGTTGATGAATCTAGAGTCCTCAGCCGCTCCCCCCCCCCATGCCCCCATCTCTTCCTCCATCTCTGCTGCTGCTTCTTCTGGATAAGGTCCCACATTCTATTTGTGTGATCCTCTCTTGATGGTCCTAGGGTCCTCTGTTTCTGGACTGTAAGATTAATCACTCCCCTTTTTTTTGTTACAAAACTTCTACCTTTACAATTGTGACAGTTGCGATTAGTCATGATAACAGTTATTCACTACTGAATCTTACGAATCTTATCCCCATCTCCTTTTACCAGACCCATCTAGACAAGATGATAACTATTCAGTGGGCCCATTGTTATTTTTTAATCCCTGTGTTTCTAACTTTAAAAGGGGGTAAAAAAATATGACAAGCTGTAAATTAAGAAAGAGACCACTCTGATTCATGGTATTTAAATATTTATTTAAGTTTAAAAATAATCTTCATGGCACCAATGATTTTATGCTAACTACATACTGCATATGTAGAAAAAAGTACATTGCTCTGAAGGAAAATGTAACTTAGACTTTTTGGCACACAAAAGGTTAACAACTATCTTGTTTTAATGAAACTAAGAAATTCACATTTGCAGGTAGTTTACCCTCTACTGCTTAAAGGTGCAGTACACTCTTCTTTAGTTAAGAGTTTTATTTCCTCTGGTAGATGAAGCTATGGAAACCATTGCTTTTCCTACAATGAGATCAAACTAATTTTGAGAGAAAATAAAAGAGACACAGTGGGACCACAGTTAAAACCAGGTTAAAAACGCAAACAATTTTATACGGTAGAGAGATTTCAAAAAAGACAAGTCACCAACAAAAAGGAGGGTGTTATTCAAGCTCTATTTGGAAAGCAAATTGAAGGAAACTTTCTTATCCACCTTTTCTGGGATTAGCTCTGGAAAAAACACATGACCCAAAAGTTTCTGTTTAGAGAGCAAAACTCAGCTGTTGGGAGTGGTATGGACGTAATGTGTGGTGTTAGATCTCTAGACACAAGTAACATATCAGTAAATGGAATACTGCATCTTTCTTTAATGCGAACATGAAAATCAGAGTTGAGGCTTTTACTCACTGCATATTCTACAGACTGAGGTAGGAACACTACACTAAAGATAATTTGCTATGTTGCATAAAGACAGTACATATCCAGGTCAAAACCAGCCCCTCTCTCATGGCAGCCTTTTTATCTCTGCGTCTACTTTTTACTTGAGTCCTGTACTGAATAAAAAAAGCCTTTTCTTGTAGATGACAAGTGGCAGTGACTAGTTGGTTGTAAGTGATCCTTAATTTTTAGTAGGATCTCCCTCAGTTTGTCTTGTCACTTGAGAAATAGATGTTTGTAACTCTGCCCAAATTGTTGCTGGTATGGAAATGGTCAGGTAGGCTGTCTTCCGTTCTTAGATTCCAGTGCATTTTAGCATTCCCGTACTTGATCTTGCTCATCGTGGCTTCAGACATCTCTGCCGGTTAGTGGTTCGAGCACCCTTTAAGCAAGCAGCCCAGTGCCTCCACTGGGAAGCGGTCCTGGATCTTTGACACATGCCAGAAACCGAAGCAGACCTGATCCCCTGTTAAGGAGTTTTATTATCCAGATTGGAGCGGGCAAATTTGGACCTGTGGGCCAAATTCAGTTTACTGTTTCTGTAAATAAACTATTGTTGGAACACAGCCATGCTTACTTGTTTACTATCCATGGCTGCTTTTGTGCTACAATGGCAGAGTTGAATAATTGCGACAGGGTATGAACCAAAAAAGACTATCTATATGCCACTCTGCAGAATTTAGCTAACTCCTGGTCTAGATGAAAGAAAGAGCATCCTTAAGATTATGCAATTAACCCTTCTCTCTTCCCTCCCCAAGGATCATCTACTCCACAGCTGTTATATTCTAAACATGGGCACAGGTGTACCATCTTGGGACAAACCAGGGGAGATCAAATCTCTACATGACTCATTCATTCTATTCTGCATTTGGGGCTGTCCACCGTCAGAGAGTGTCAGCAGTTCTTCACCGTTAGGAGTGGTATGGACATAACTGTGTGAGTCCCAGGAATCTCAGGCCCCAGATGACAGAAATCTCTCCCTGAGATGAAAACAACATCTTGTGCATGACTGATTTTAAGAGTTGCTGAGCTCGGGCCTCGGACCTCCCACTCACCCTTCACGCCCAAGCTTCTGTCTGCTTCCAGGGCTTCCATCCACAAGGTGCAGAGGCTGACCCTAGGGGGCAGTATTTCTACATGTAAGTGTTGGTCTCTTTGCCATTGTTCTTTTGTAGGCATCTCTTAAAAATCCTATTTAGAGTTCTTTTTCTGGTTCCTTCCAAGGCTGTTTTGTTGATCTTGAAAATAGTATTTTCTGAAGCTTTTCATTCTCAGCATCACTTTCTTTCTTGCATCATTTAGTTCATCAGGTTCTATTTTCTTAATCCATAAAGTAAAAACAAAATATGAATTGATAAGAAAATAACATTTTGTTGTTAAAATATAAATTGAAATAGTTTTTTTTTCCCCGATGTGTACAAAATAAGTACTGCTCTCTGAATCTCGATAGTTTCTCAGGTAACTTAGCTCTGGTTTCAGTTAACAAACATGTTGTCCGACATTTCTAACAGTTCTATCTCTGGCACCACTGAATTCATTTAACACCACTGAAGCTCTATAAAAATCTTGAGGTTCTTCAGGAGAAGAAAATCGGAGAAAGCTAAGTTCATTATACAAAACTCGTGATGATGCCCACTAGGCTCTAGTCTAAGGGAACACTTACCCCACCCCTGCTGCTGTTGCTGCTGCTGCTGACGTGGTCCCTTCAGATGCCCACTCTGCTCAGATTTGAAAAAACAAAAGGAAAAGAAAATCCAACTCAGACCATCATAAGAAGCAACTTTCCATTTAATCATTCTACATGGATGTTTACTTGTTAAAAAGTTCTGCCTGGCAAGAACACAAATAGCCCCATTGTCCAGACCCCTGGCTTGTCCTGCTGAGGCTGCAGCGACGCATCTACTGGAACCCAGTAGCACCAGGAGGAAAGCTCCCGCAGAACTCAGAAGACAACCGCTTGCTAGTCTTCCACTAGTGTTCTGTCTGCTAGGCGATACTACTGTGATAATCAGTAATAGTAAAATAAATTATCTTTATTTGATACTTTCAAAATAATACACATCTATGAAAAATCAAAATTCAAAACCAAAAATTATCCTGCAAATTGGAAGGATGAGGAAGAGAGTCACTGAGCCTTTCTCGAAAGAGCCTCTGAAGAAAATGAATTTTCCCAGTTTGTTTAGACAGGGCACGAGCCTATCCCTCTCTTCTTCTGGGAAACCCCCCTCCTAGGCTGCAGTGGACTTTTTTGAGTCATGAGAGGAGGACTTGGTATATGTGCCGATGGTTCCGCGATGGGTCCCTTTGCTGGGAATGGGTAGCCGGGCTCTCCTTGGTCCACCCGGCTAGTTACTGGGAGGAGCCATGCCTTCTCAGGTGTCAATGAGCAGGCTCACCACAGAGCGGATTTTGCAAGCAAACCATCGCCTGAGGGGACAAAAGTATTGATAGTGGAATTGTTCAAACTCGGGGGTCTGACGGATATCTCGGAAAAAGGCAATGTCAAGGTCGGACTCGGTAAGGATGATCAGGAGGAGGAGCAAAACAAAGAGGAGTCCCATGGTCACAAGGAGCAAACGGAGGACACTTAAAACAAACTTATTCACCTGTTCCTCCTCCAGCCTGCCGTGCCTGTGACATAGGACCCTCAGCTCTCCCCCAAGGGCCTCCACCTCTGCCGCAGGTGGGGTGCTGGCCTCAGACTCCTTCTCCTCTTCAATGCTGCAGGTGGCTCCATTGATCTGCCGGGAGAGCAGCATCAGCTCCAGGCTGTGCTCTGCCACTGGGGTGGGCAGCACGCTGTCTGAGGGGCTGTAGGCCTCGTCTGCTATTACAGCCACTCGCTCATTGCTGTCTGCCCGGCTGCTTCTCACGTGAGGCAGGAAGGTGTCGCCGTGGGAAGAGGAGCGCACTGGGGTAGAATGGGCGCTGTCTCGGAGGGACTCTAGGCCTGGAGAAGCAAAAAGAACATGAGAACATGAGTGGGCTTTCCATGTCACAGTGGACACGTTGGCTGATCAATGGAGGCAATGCCCACTGATTATTTGGCTCCTCCATCTAGAGAGGAAACCCTCCTTACAAGACTGTCACCAGTGGCCACATGCTGCGTTTTTGATGCATCAAGACTAGGACAAGAGAAGCAGCAGAAATCAGAGTTGAGTGACCATGGGTTGGAATACGTTTTTTTTTTTTTTTTGGGGGGGGGGGTTGTTTTGAAAGACAATCAAAATCAGCCTATCCCCAATCCTTAGCTGGGGCCATGGTTCAGGAGCTAAGTCTGCCTATAGGCTAAGGGCCTTGAGAGGCAGGAATGGGGACAAAGGGAATGTGTTTTGTCTATTTGGGTTTCATTGGATACTACTTTTGGGGCTGAGTGTCCTGTGTTAATCCAGCATGGAGCTCTTCAAGTCCATGAGGTCATCTATTGGATGTAATTGTAAACAGTTTCATCTGGCCTTCAGTTCCAGCTGTTCTGAAACCCAACCTGATTTCCCTACATGCTTCCAGATGGTAGAGAAAGGAGGTAGTTCCTGGCCAGTCCCTTTCTTTTCACCTTTGAACAAGCAGGTTCCCTTGCTGGGTCTAGAATAAACTGATGGGAACAGCTTCATAACTTGAGCCCCTCCAGAGCTCAACACAGCCTCTGAGAAGATCTTGTTTAGTTGGGTGAGGGAGGGGGTAAAGATTCACCTACATTTGCTAGGAGAATGGAGTCTTTTAGCCCCCAAAGTTACACATTCACTTGTTTTTTTCTCAAATGGAAAGAAATTTTTTTCTTATTCCAGAGACCTCAAAGGACATAAGGTATGGCAGGGACAAGCAGGAGCTGGTTACGTCTTCAAGGACTTGGGCTCACAGGCACTATGTGTGGTCCATATCACAGATCTTCCAAGGAAACAACTGCTTGTCTCAGGTTTAACATCAGCATTTCTCACTCGTGGCAATCTCTGTGGTGCCAGAGTGGCTCTCTCTCTGTCGCCCAAGATAAGAAAAGTCAACCCCACTCCTACTCTGAAATAGACCCCGATGTTCCCAGACTGAACCAGATTCCCAGCTCAGTGAGGGTTCTGCCTAACTAGGGCTGAGTACAGAGTTTACTATTCATCTTTATTCAATCTCAAGGCTAGCTCCAGAGGTCTTGTAACCTTTGCATCCGTAACCTTTCAGAAGTGTCACATGCTTCTTGGCTACCTGGTGGAGTGCCCATTTGCACCCAGGTAGCCTGTCCTGTCAGCCTAGTGGATCCCAGTTGAGGACAGGCACAGTTAAAGGTTCTCTCTAGAGGGATGCTCCCAGAGAACTGGGTAGGAACAGAGGAGGCCGCGGGAGACAGGGGACCTGCTCTTTGTTGCCTCACTCTTAGTGTATTTGTCGCAGCTCTTACCTTTTGCTTTCAGAAGCTCCTCACAATCCTAGCTGTGTTGTTTGCCGGGTACCTCTATGCTAAAACCTTAAACTATTTGTATAATGTTGTAAACTTCTGTTCAACAACTCCATGAAGTAGTGAGAGGTTAAGGAACTTGCCTAAAGTCATGTGGTTGGTGGTTAAAGGCAAAGCGAAGATCAGAACTCAAGCCTCTTTCTATTTTGTGGTGCTGTACACCAGATTGTTTGGATTTTTGAGAATTGGAGCAATGGACCAGGATGCATTACATCAACAGCCTGCACCTGCCTGAGATTTTGTTCCTAATTGCTCGAGACTGTTGGAAACAACATGAAGAGCTCCTGACTATTTTTCTAGAGCTCTTGATATTCCTTTGACTTCTTTTTTTTCTTGTCTAATATTCCTTTCTGATTTTCTCATTTGCACATGCAACGTGAGGAATTTGTAACTTGGAGTGTGTTACACATCACTGATAAACCAGAACCCTGGGGCCCTAATTAAAACAGTATTGCTGGCTCGACTCCTCACCCAGGCAGACTTCTAGCCCTGCCCCTCTTCCCCTGGAACCTCATCCCATTGCACACCTGACACCCTTCCAAGGTCCTGTCCTATCACAAGGTTACCTCTGACTACTCAGACCTTCCAAGGTCTGACCAGCTTCACTGCCAGTAGCCATTTCAACGCAAGTTTGGCTTGGCCTACAATTAGCCCTAAGCTTGCTGGGGAAGGGGCAAAGCAGAGGCTGTGACAGAAATCAGAGGGACACCAGAAGCCACAGTATAACATGAGCTGTTAGTGCTCTCAGTAAACAAGATAATGGATATGGTGATTCTAGTAGTTCAGTGCAGTCGAATAGATTCTGGCTCATAGCAACCCTCTATAGGATTTATGAGGAGCAGCTAGTGGGTTTGAACTGATGACCTTATGGTTCACAGTCCAGTGCTCATCCTACAGTGCCACACCAAGAGTCCTAGTAAAGCCCCTGACGAAATTACTCAGTAAATGTTAGTCTTAAACTTTTCAACAAAAGACCTCTCCTGTCAGGTTATTCCTGTGCTTGGTTAGTTGTAAGAAGCCACTACCCATCCCTCAATCAAACTTGTTATTCTATGATGGATGGGGTGAGCGCTGTGAGTGAAATCTGGGATGAGCAGTACAGCAAGACAAAGCAGTGTCCTTTTTTTTTTTTTTCTTTACCTTCCAAGTGTTCCAGCTGGTTCCCTGGCCTAGAGGTGGCTCCCAAAGGGCTGAAAGGCACAGCAGTCAGGACCCTCCCCTGAAGTCGGGGCCCCATCTTCAGGATGCGCACACTCATGGGCCGAAAGCAGTGATTGGTCACCCGGAGCTGGACTCGGACTCTGGTGTGAATCTTAATCAGACTCTTCCCCATGGTGGTGGCCCCGGGAGGCAGAAATGTTTTCAGGCATGCAGTTCTCTTCGTGAAAGCCAGCCGGGCAGGAGAGATGTGTAGAGGAAGAGGACAGCCAGCCAACTAGGCACAAGGGGTTTTTGCTGATCTCAGGCCATGGCAGCACCTTAGTGCCTCCCTGCTCGAGAGAGGTCTGCTCTTCAAGCCTCTGAGCAGGCTGGGCTGCTGAGAAGGAGCAGCTTTGTGAGGCTGGCGTTATCACAGGACTGGACTCAGCCAGAAGCACGCAGAGCCATAAAAAGCAATGCTTCTCCAGCCTGTAGCTCTTTCCCTGAGGCCCGTGCAAGAGCCCTGGATCTCAGAAGGTGAGGGACACAGAGGGCAGGGAACAGTCCCAAGGGTAGCTGGAATCAAGCTAGCCCCAGAAAATCCCAAAGAAAAGTCACTGAGCTTTCTTCAGGCTACATACAGTACCTGGTGTCAATGACATTATATTGTTACCACTAGTTTGAGGCTGAATGCCTCTGGATTCTGAGGAAGTGTCATTCTGGGGCAGGGAATGGGCTGTGATTGTCAATGGCTGGACTCTATAGAATCAGCCCCCTGCTATTAAGCGGTAGAACAAAACAATGGGTGGAAGACACCCTCAGGGTCCTTTCTAGGTCAGGCCTGTGCTGGTGACATGTTATTTTAGCATCCCTAAGAGCTGAGAGTAGGGCCAAGCCAAAGCATTGTTTACTGAGATTACATAGTTTTATTCAAACTATAATGGAGTGTTTATGCATTTGCCCCACAGATTTTAGAGGCTGCAAATGAAGCTTTTCCCCTGGAGAAGCCAAATTGCTTCCGTGATAGTAATTTGTGATCCACTACACTATGGGTGTAGTGGTTACGAATTAGGCTGTGAACTGCAAGGTCAGCAGTTTGACACTACCAGCTGTTCCGCTGGAGAAAGATGAGACTTTCTGCTCCCGTAGATTTACAGCCTCAGAAACCCTGTATAGGGTCACTATGAGTCGGAACCGACTCCACGGCACATAACTAAACACCACCACTATGGGACAGATAATCTGATGGAGCGAACCAATTTTCCAATGTTCACAAATTCCTTGATATTTTGGTGGCTTATGTCCTCTGTTGAAACCACCACACCTTTCACAGCCCTGCCTTGTTGGGACAGTTAGGGTCAGCTTTGTTTCCTATGATCCCCTACAGGCTAAACCCACTTGAGAGATGGTGCACCTGAACTCTCATCTGGAATTCTTTATTTTCTGAGGCTTGGTAATCCCTGCCTTGAAAGAGCTGCTAAAATAATGTTTTTCTTTCCCACGCCTAAACCAGATAGTTGCTCCAGTTTCTGTCTCCTCTCTTAATTCTGAGCCAAGTATTTAATCTTGCCAGATCATACCTGCACCCTCCTGAGTATAATGAGTCCTGGACCATCCTCTAAGCACATGATACCCTCTGTGCTGTGGGGTACTGCTCAGCAAGGGTATGGGAGAGTGCCCTATAAACTACTAAGTGTAGTGGCTAACCAAGGGATGGCAGTTACTGAGATCTCACTGCACATAGCCTCCTGGCTTTTCCTCCTGCCTTAGACTGAGGAGAACTAAGTATGGCACTTGCTTGTCTCTTCTTTTGGTGTGTTCATCTTAGGGAGGTGGAAGCAGGCTGTGCTCTTGCAAGCCTTGGACCTAGGATGTGAAGAGAAGTTGGTTTGGTGCATAACATGGGTGTTTGCTCTGTCCCAAATTATTAAGTGTGAGTTTCTGTGAGGCTGAGATTTGAAATGCCCCTAGCCCTATGATGTCTGTTTTCCAGAAGCTTCCATAGCAACTTCTATCTACTGTACTTTCCCCTGGCATTTTGCAAGGGTGAATATCTTGAGGAGCCTGCTGCTGCAATGAGAGAAGATGGGTTCTGGGAAGAGGCTGGGCTGGGAAATGAGGCTGCCTAACAGCTTGTCGTGGGGCACAAACACAGATGTTTCCACCTCTGAGCTGTTGGGCTAACCCTACTTGGCAGCTACTCAAATGAGTTCTGTCCCCATACTGACACCCTCTTGTGAGAACGTGGTGTGACTGCATGCTCTAGCCATATTCTGGGAAGCAGAAATGAGTAGGCCCCTTTCCTGTTTTACACCCTGCCTTAGTGCCAGCTTTGCCCAGGGTTAATCTTTCCTCTGCAAGGACAGCTGTCTGAACCTTGGGATGAATTCTGGTGTTTTAGTTTCAGCATTGAAGGGTATAAAGAGTCACAGAGAGGGGAAAAAAAGTCATATTTTCTTCAAAGAGAAATTTCTTCCACCTTCCTGAGATGAGCATCCAAGAAGACGAGAGACAGCGAGAGCCACACTTAGTTCTCCCTCAGTCTGAGACGAGGAAAAGCCAGGAGGCTATGTGCAGTCAGATCTCAGTAACTGCCTTCCCTTGCGCAGCAATTGCACTTGGTGTTCTGCCTGACTCTGAGACGTAACTTGGTGGTAGTTCCCAACCACAAGACATTATAGTTCTTATTCCCTAACTCAGGTGATGTAGTATCAGACTCATAGGAAGGACATAAACTCCTAAACACAAACCAGATATCTTTCCAGGAGAACAGCAGAGAGACATCCTTCCTAACCTGAACAGTTCTTTTTCATTAACAAGCAGTATTCTCACAGAAAGGGCATTATTCCTCAGCCTGTTCCATTGAACCCAGGAGAGGGCTGCTGTTCCCTGCTGTTTGAGATCTTCTGAGGTCTTCTGGAGGGAAAGCACTTAATTTTACATCTGTTTTCAATATGTGGGGCAATCGCTAGAGAGCTGTATTCAAAGCAAATCTCCTAATGCTGTTCTCAACTACCCAGCGAATAGAGGTCTTGGTCTTAGAGAGTACCAAGTTCACTGAAGATACAGACTTTCTTTTCACCTCTCCCTCTATCAAAGGAAGGAAAGAGGTGGAGGGAGATGGAAGGAATTGGTTTTCCTGAGCCAATGGTAAGGAATTTAGATAGCAAGAGAACAGATCTCTAGAACTGAACTAGAAGGTGATGGTAGCCTACTACGGAATGCTTCAGAACCAAGAGTTTTCACTTCTTGGTTAACTGCCTTAACCACCTTGATCATTTAAGCTGTGGAGATTTAGCAGAGCTGGAAAACACGTGAAAACTTTACAAAAGCAATTTCAGAATGGTATGGAGCCTAGTAGATCTCACATCCATACATAAAGTAACCTGGCACTCAGCTCTGCAAACCCTGGTCCTGGACCATACGGATGGCTGGGATTTCCCTTCACCTTACACCATCACTTGCACCCAGTGTTCCCATTCCCTGGGTGAAACCTCCCTACAATTGAAGCAGCGTACTGGTTACGAATCGGGCTGTTAACCTCAGGGTCAGCAGTTTGAAACTACCAGCTATTCCGTGGGAGAAAGATGAGGCTTTCTGCTCCTGTAAAGATTTACAGCCTCAGAAAACCCCGCACAGGGTCGCTATGGGTCAGAACCGACTCCACGGCACATAACAACAACTGCTCAGAGAAATTTGCTGTTTTCTATAATGCAAATTAGTCTCTTTTCGAAGTCCCCAAAGGAGGAACTTGAGACCTGATAGGGCAGTACATTAAGCACTGGACTACAAACCCACCAGCCGTTCCAGGGGAGAAGGATGAGGCTGTCTTTGCCCATAAAGATTTACAGCCTTGGACACCCCATGGAGTAGTTCTACTCGGTCGTACGTTGTTGTTAAGTGCTGTGGAGTCAGGTCCGACGCATACTGACCTTGTATAGGGTTTCTGAGGAGCCACTGATGAGCTTGAACTGCCAACCTTGCTGTTCAAACAGCTTTGCAGTTGGCGCATTAACCCACAGTGCCACACCAGGACCCCACTCTGTCTTACAGGATCACTATAAAGTCAGAATGGACTTGATGGAAGTGGGGTTGCTTTTGTTCTAGAGGAGGAACTCACAAGAGAGGAGCCTAGTAGGCATCTCCAGGAGGTCATGCTCACCTTCCATGATGGAGATGTGAACAGCTCTTCTGCGGGTCCTGGGAACGCTGCTCAGCCTTGGACCATGAGTTATCGAGGGGCAGCTCTGACTTGGAACCATTCCTGCTCTGAGGTTAAAGGAAAAGAGAACCCTGTTTACTCAGCGCACAGACAAATGTGGTAGAGAATTAGATTCGAGCCTAAAGGGCCTGAACTGTTAGGTTGAGTTAGTTTAAACTTTCTTTTTCTTATTATCTCTTTGCCTTTGGTCTTTGGAACTCAGTCAGAACTGCCTCAGATTTCTTCACCTCCTTATATCCCAGGTCCACCTGAACATTTCTTTAGTGCCACTGGTCTCTGTTGGGCAGGACTGTCAGGGAGTAGAATCCTAGGATGATCAGTAATCCTGAAAATGTGTCTTAACTCCAGTATTGGCAGCCTCCCTTGACTTTCAACAGACGCTGCTGGTGGTTGGGGGATAATGCCCCTATTCCTAGTGGTGAAGGCCAGTGGAAGATTCCTAGCCTTAACCAATTAAATTCTGAGATTTGCCAGGTTCTAGGAGATGAGCTTCTGGAAATACTTGATTTATAGTTATACATGAAGCATGGATCACAAAACTATTTTAGCAGGGATATAGGGCTCTCCTTATCTTCCTGTAATGGACTCATTCCAGAATCAATGAAATACTGCTGATTGGACTTATGGGAAAAGATAAGTTCTCTGCTGCCGCCTATGGTCAGTGTCAGGACCTGGGAGGAAAGTGGCAGCTGGATTTGTAAGTAGCCCTCCCTTATTTTCCATTATAGCTCAGGGATACCAGGGTCAAAGACTTTTGCCACACCTCCAGCTGTGATGGTCTCTTCATTTTCCTGCCTTGTACGTCTTCCCTTTCTGGTAGCTACATGTGGCCAGGATCTTTGCAGTCTCCATATTCTTGAGATTCTGGGAATGAGCTGGGACTGGTTTGTGGGGAAGCCTTTGATAGCCTACCTGTGTATTTCCGGTGGCTCCCGCTTGATCTTGGCACTAGACTCCATTACTTCCTTTGCAACTCGGCCACTATAAGTAGTATCATAAAAACAAGCATCGAGAAATGAGACAGCGTTCCAGGACCTGGCTCCTCTCCAAGATCTCAGGTTCTTTGACTGAATTGGGAGATGGCCCCTTAGGCCTATCCCTTCCCCAATATTCTGGTCCTTGAGAAAGGTTTGCTTGTTGAGGTAGAGTCCTATGATAACCTAACAGCCTATCTTAGAGGGCTCTAACTCTGGAATCTCTGGGCTCTTCTGTTCCCATTTGTAAAGTGATTTCTTATTGTCCAGAACATCATCACAAACATTGTCTAGGAAAACATCCCCCAGTAAAAATAAAATAAAAAACAGACAGTGGGCATGGAAAAAATCATGGTGACAGTTCTAATTTTGCTGCTGTTGTAATTAAGGAAAAGAGAAAAAGGTAGAAAACTAAAAACCCTACAGACAAACAACTGTAGGGAAGGCAAGAAGTTAAAGGGTGAGGAGACAGAAGGATTGCATCAAAACCTCGGGATTTTCGGGGAGTGCCCCAGTTTATTTGTTCTCAAGGGCAAGGGCCATGGAGCAACTTTTTTCCAGAGAAGGGTCTGAAAATAGATCCATAACAGTTACTTACTGTCACTATTTACCTGTATCGGAACCGGCTCCCTTTAAAGAATAAATTGCTGCTGGACACTGTGCGAACTTGACTTGATTTCTCCAGCCTGCAGCAAGGCAAAGTCCAGTGTGACAGACGGCCAGGTGCTACCTCACCTGGGCAAAGGCAGTGCATCCCCAATTCCTTCCAAAGGCTACTTAGGAAAAGAGCCACCCAGAGCCCACCTGGGTCTCTGACTCTTCCTTAGGACCAGAATGCTGGGCTCATGGCCAACTGCCCTAGCACCTCAATGTCAGGGGAAAGCCATATTGAAACCCATTTTAATGTCAGGAGACATATTTCATGGGGCCATCATGGGAACTGAGTGAGTTGCCATTAGTGTTGGTGGTCTGTAGGGGATAATAGAATGACAGCTATCTAATCTCAGCCAGGCCACTTATTAGCAGTGTATGTAACCTTGGGCAAATTTCTTTGCCTCTCTTTGCCTCAGTCTTCTTATCTATAAAAAGATGGAGCTAGGACTACTTGACTTCAGCGGTCCCTTCCAGTTCTAGTATTTGATGACTTGTGTCCATGCCTGGGAGGGGGTGAGAATAGAGGCTGTCCTTTCTACTCCAGCTCCCTATTGGAAAGACCTAAAGGATATTAGCAAATTCAAGACTGAGGAGTCCTATAATGAAGAAACTCGCTTTAATAAAAGTTCTATAATTTATTTGGTATACTTACAATTTTTAACATTTTGTTGTGCTTTAGGTGATAGTCTACACACCAAAGTAGTTTTCCATTCAATAATTCATGCACCAAATTGTTCTGTGACATTGGTTGCAACCTTCACAATGCATCAACCTTTTCCCCATTTCCACCTGGGTTCCCCATAGCCATTCATTTGGTTTCCCTGGCCCTCCCTGCCTTCTCATCTGTGTTTTTGGACAAATGTTACCCATTTGGTTTCATATAGTTAGTTGATTGATTTAAGCACATTCCTCATGGGTGTTGTTTATTTTATAGGTCAATCTATTGTTTGGTTGGAATTCTGGTATAGTGATGTAGGATCAGTACTGGACTGTGAACCAATAGGTTGGCAGTTTAAACCCACCAACTGCTCCTAGGAAACCCTATACAGGGTCACTTGATATGAGTCAGAACCAACTCAATGGCACTTAACAGCAACAACAATTATTTGGTTAAGAGGTGGCTTCTGGGAGTGACTTCAGAGTAATTTAGGCAAAATCTTGGGGGTTCTTCCAGTTGCTCTCAAACCAGTTAAGTCTGTTTTTTTTTATAATTTTTTTTTTATGAATTTGACTTTTGCTCTATATTTTTCTCCCATTCTGAGACCTTTTGTTGTGTCCTAGGTCAGAGCAGTAGTCATTATTGGTAGTTGGGCCCCATCTAGTTCTTCTGGCCTCAGGCTAGAAAGAGCCATTAGTAAGCATCCCTAGTGGTGCAGTGGGTTCAGCACTTGGATAATGAAAAGCTGGGGTGGTTTGAACCCACCAGCCACTCCTTTAACTAGTTGCTTTCTTGATTGAACCTTTGGTTTTCTTCACCCTCCTTTGCTTTGGGCAGGAAGAGACCAATAGTTGTATTTTAGGTGGCTTTCCTCAAGCTCTGAAGATGCTTATTAATATCACTTACAGGCTATAGACAGCTGATGGGGAGACCCTGAAAGTCAAGGGCTTTATAAAACATGTTCTTGAGTGATTCCTCTGATCCCATTAACCCTCTCTCACTTTGAAAAGAGAGATTGCCTAGAGAGAAGTCTCCCAAGAGCTGATTCAGCCTGCATCATCATAGTACTAAGCCAGCCAGGAGTGAAACCTTTGCTAGGAGTGGGTAGTATTTAGTGAGCTGTCCCCACAATTCATAAACACAGTTCCCTGGATATATCATCCCTACCTATCTCATGAGGTTCTGAGCCCACTCATCTTCTTTCCTGAGCATGTTTTCCAACTGTAACCAAGATGCCTTCATGGCAGTAGGCCAAAGGCAGAGCCAAGGATCTACACCTGAGAGATGTCCAGAGTGAGGCCAAAGCGACTGTTGAATGAGACTTGGCGTAACTGGAGATCTGACCCATGAAGAGCTTCTCACACTCAGAACAGTAAGTAGTCAAGTGAAAGCAGCGACACATAACCTTAGTTTCCAGTTGAAGTGGTAGCAGGGGTGGCTAGATGTGGGGATCTATTAATGAAAGGACTTAGAAGTTGAGTTTGGTCACAGGTTCAGAAGCGTAACTGTTCCCATGATACAGATAATAAAACAAAGACCTTCCTAAATGGTGCTGGAGGCATGAAAATATCAGAGCCAGGGAAGGTGCTTTCATTATGTTAGACCAGTTCCCAGGAGGCCTCTGTCAGCTCATGCCTTCCTCTCTTTGTTGGGGAGATCCCAGGGACCCTATCCTTCTGGGGCTGCTCTTTAGTCCTATAAGCAGAAAGGTTTTCATCTCTAGTTACTTCTCTTCAGGTTCATGTATCTAGCTAAACCTGGACTCTGTCCTCACAGGCAAAGGGAAGGTAGTTAAAACAGAAAAGAAATGTTTTCTTGGCCTTCCCTGAATAGGACGGACTGAATGGAAAAGAAATTTAGCCATACCAAAGTCTATTCTAAGTTTCATCTTCAGGAGAAGAAACAGTAGGTCAGGTTGCCCATTCAGTTCATCCTTAATTCTGGCATCAGTTACATAAAGAGTACTAAGAGTTTGGAAAGCTTCCCCAAAAACCACCTCTGGAGCTGTGGCCCTGGTAACTAGGAGGAGAAGAGACCTGCTGGTCAGTATCCCCTAGCAGTCGGCAGGCAGCAGAGCAATCCTGCTGTCTCTAGGTCCCTACAGAGAGGAGGCCTGGCAGGGGCATCTGGTGACACATGGCTCACCCTAGATAGTATGCCACACATTTTGTCTTTTTTCTGATTATTCTGATTAAAACAACAGCTTGTTAAGGAATAAACCATGACATTCTATTTTAAACAAGACCAAGAGGTTTAGTGCAACATACTTTGCCTAACATCACCCTCAGTTTCTCAAGGGGCCATTTTCTCAATCAAATAAAGTTACACATGAAAGTCTCACATGAAAGCCAAAAACTAAACCTGTGGCTGTCTAGTCAATTCTGATTCATAGGAAAGGATCCACATACTTTACAAAATCCTTTGGTATATAAAGTTCTTGTCTTTGGCCCAAACTTGCCTTCTCCATAACAGTCTAGTTCTCACCTCCTCTCTAAGCTCCTGAGTACTTGGTTTGTCACTGGCAATCACATTGGCAGCGATGCATCAGGAGGGGCTAACATCGACCTTACCTTAGCACCAGGCAATTCTGTGGGAAGCTGGGAAACAGACTCCAGAACGTCTCCAAGCCTCTCCAGGGCTGGAGCTGGTGCTAGGAGTCTATGTGGGGTTGTACCTGACCCTCTATGGCGCATGTATATTTCCAGACTGCCCAGAGCCCTGAAGGGGTCCGTAAGGGCAACTTGATTATATTAGGTACCCATGAGTTTCTTCTGGCCCAAGCATCACCCTGAAAGACCCACTGGAAGCTGACCAAGGCAGATCCCTTGGGCAACTCAACTGAAACGCATTCCCAGACTTTGGCTCTGTACCTCCAGGGTCGGAGTTTAACAAGGAAGCCAAGCCTTGTCATCTCTGGTTCCCTTTCTCAGGACCTCAGTTTGCTGGCCCATCATTCCTCTAAAAATAGCTAGCCTTTGCAACTTTGGGTCTGATAAAGAGTCGCCTTCTTATGAGTGCACTTACTTGTAGAAAGCTTGGTTCTCAATTCCACATTTCCAGAGGTGCTTGCAGGCTTCTGGAGTTGGAGCAAAATATGTGAGAATAATTTTCTTTTCCTACAAAAAAATTTCACATAGGAACAACTGAGTTTGGATGGAGAGGGGACAGCTGAAATAGGCCAGGACACTGATCCCTGACCTGCAACAGGGTTCCCCAACAGAATTTCAGTGAGAGGTTTCAGATGGGGAAGGAGTTGTGCAGCAGCTGGCTAGTTGGATGAGAAGTCCTGCAGAACCCACTGAGGCAAAGCTCAGTTCAGCAATAAATTCACACCTGTGAAGCCCAATTAGAGTACGCCTTATACACCCGCTGCTGTTGAGCCATTTCTGACTCCTAGTGACCCACCCTATATGACAGGGTAGAACTGCTCCAAAGGTTTCAGACATTATAGGAGCAGACAGTCTCATTTTTCTCCAGCAGAGTAGTTGGTGGGTTTGAACCACTGATCTCGTGATTGCTTGTGGTTACTATTATTAAGTGCTGTTGAGTCGGTTCTGACTCATACCGACCCTGTATAGGGTTTCAGAGGAGCGGCTGGTGAGCTTGAAGCACCAACCCTACGGTTCAAACCAACCTTACAGTTCAGTGCATTAATCCGCAGCGCCACACCAGGACTGCTTATCCCACTGTGCCGCCAGGTCTCCTTAGAGTAAGCCTTTGTTGTTAAGTAAGCCTTAGATGGTACAAATTGAACTAAGAGAGCCCTTGGCTAGAAAGTGGCACTCTCATTGGGAAATTTTCCATGGAAGCCAAAGACTCTACCTTTGACTTCTGCATGTCCTGGATGTGAGAATCTGTTGGATGGAAACTTTGGGTGTCACCAGCAACACTCAGGAAGTCTGCTCTGATTTAGCATGCAGGTCGTAGCTCTATCTGAACTACCCAGGTTTGGCCTTGGACATCAGGAGCCGTCCCAGTGCCCCAGCCCTCCCTGAAGAGAAGGAAGCTGTCACTCACCTCTTTCTGACTTACGTGTAAATAAAAAGTCTTTCCTTCAAATTTCAGCTTGGTCACCTCATTCCTAGAAGCACAAAGAGAGTGCCTGTCATGTTGTGGGCTGCTTGTCCACAGCTAAGTCCCACCCAGACTGGAGGGGGCTCCAGGCACAGACACAGTTTTAGCCAAAATCAGAACTGAAACAAGACAGCAGCGTAGTGGCCTTAGAGAACAGTTGTTGGACTAGTTTAATCCACAGTTTTCTGGTCAATCACAATATACTAGTAGGGTGGTAGGAGGATTTCAGGCCCATTAACAGTGGCTACAGAAGGGAAACTCTGCATGGGAAGTGAGTATAGGTAGCGTGTCCAAGGTCATTTCAGGGTTTGGTTCATAACACAGGTGCATTATCTGGATGGGACTGTCAAACGGAAAATGCCACAGGTAGCTGATGAGGCCAAAGTTCAAGATATAGCAAATAATGGAAAACAATGCAACCAGGTTCTGAGGGAGTTGTCTTTCAGGTGACTAGTGCCACTGAATGGAAAATGCAATTTAATGCAGACAAATGTCAAACAGTCTCAGGGAAGGGGGCGGGGCAACATACCAAGAGAGAGAACAGATTACATGGAACAGTCATGCAGCGTACTGACCAGGAAAGGGGCTTAGGGGGTTTTGTAGAAAAATCCTTGAAGCCACCAGCCCAGTGAATGGCTGCAGTAAAAGAGGCAAACAGGATACTGGGGTACGTCACCCGTGGTACAGACACAAATCAGAAGAAGTGACATGGTTACTGTACATGGCACAGCTTAGACCTCACCTCCACATACTATGCTCAGCCTCAGTTACATTCACAAAGTGGAAAAATTACCAGGGTCTCAGGTGGATGTACCTGTGAGCCAGAGAACTAGGCCTCAGCACTGGTCACACCTCCCTTCCCCCTTCCTCCTGCCCAACATGGCTTCCCTCTGGAGCCTCAGGGCCCCTCCACCTTGGTGGGGGTGGAGTCCTTGTTTTTCTACCCAACTGGGACCCTGAAGGAGGTCTGATCATGCACATCTGCCTCTATTTGGCTTCTTCCTCTTTGTAGTTTGTGGAAAGATTCGCTCAATATCCTAGGAAGTAGCAGAAAGGTAGTGAGAACCACGTACCCAATTTACTGATGAATAGAGACAAGTCACTTGCTCTCTGTGGTCCTGGAAATCACAGCTGGGTCAGGAAGAGAATTCACAACTTCTGACAACCAGTTCTGAGCAAATACAAACCTCATGGTATTCCTTCTCTGTCTGATTACATTTCAGTCTTTCAATCAATCAATCTCATACACACACAGGATACAAATAAACATCAATTGCTTAATATACAGACAAGCACAGACCATCTAGGCTCAAACAAGCAAGGTCAGAAAGTAAGGGGATTTGCTTTGACTTGAAAGTGCAATTAGGTTCACATCTAGTATTAGAAAGTTGAGAGACAGTGAAGAAAGAGGAGACTTCCTGCTGAAGAAGTGGGACTTGAGAGAAGCCAGAGAATGAAGAGGACCTGGGAGAACCTGGTGAGTGTCATGCCTTCTGTGTGGGTAGGGATAATGTAGGACTTCATTCAAGGTTTTGGCCACCGATATGCTCTACTTATTTCACCTAAACATAACCCCTGCCAGGGACTTCTGAGAGTGTGGCCCAGGAGTTGGCCTCCCATGGCACAGCAGATAATCCAGATGTATCCAGGTAGCAAATATTCCTCACCTGGAAACCTGTAGTCTGATCCTGCTCATTGTCTTTTTCTGAAATTGTTTTGTTGGGCAAGAGACCCTAACCCCTCACCATCTTTACCTAGCAAGATCAGTGAAGTGGGCCAATTTGAGAAAGCCTGGGAGCTGGGTTGTGTTGGGCGACACCAGTGCCCTGGGCTGCTTGTTTTCCTGGGGAACGGGGCCTGACCACGAATGTCTGCAGAATGGTTTTGTTAGCACTCTGGTGGTTCACCATATTGCTGTTCTTCACAAGAGCAAGAAGGGCTGGAAAGGTGGTGTCTACTCACAGGCTCAGGAGGGGAGGAGAGATGCCCTGCAGTACCACCAGCAAAGAGCCCACCGGGAAGTGATTGTGTGCAGGTACCCCATTAGCTGTTTGGGAGAAGGCAAAGGAACCAGTATATGGAGTAGGCAGCCACCTGTCTAAGCTCACAAGAGTAACTGGACAGCTTAGAGTTGGCAGTACGAGGCTCAAGAAAGGTCAGAAACCACTGGGGCTTAATAGAATTTGTAAAATTTTCTGATGAGTTTTAAGGATGTTTGTGTGGGTTAGCAAAAATCTCCAAGATAGCCAAACATCAATCAACAATTTAGTCTTTGCCGTATCAGCTCCCAGGAGCCAAGCAGCAGAACAGACCCTCTCAAAGAGACCAAATAGGAAGCAGTTTGGAGTAGCTGTAGCCAGGCAGCAATTCTTACTGATTAGAACTGACAGCAGGAGAGGGGAGGGAGGGGAAGAAGAAGGAATGAGGATATGACTTCTAAAGACCAAGGACATATAAGGAGGGAGACAGAGCTGCACCTGAGTTCTTGTACGGGCTCTGCTGTGGGGGTTGGTCTGAGGAGAACCAACGGTGACTTATATCTGCACCAAATGTCATTCTCTGGTTAGGAGTTTGGGTAAGGCACACAGAATACTGCAGAACACTCAGTTCAACAAGGTTGATTATGGCCCTCAGTGGGTGATGGTCCCAAAGATTCGTTCTTACGGGATGTTAGTTTCTATAGCATTGGGTCCAAACCCAAGTCTCTTGTCCTCCCCTGCAATTAAGCCTCCATTACACCCTTTCTCTGTATGGGAGAGGCTGTTGACTTTCAAGAATGCTTCTTTGGAAGATAAGATCCATAGAGACCACTACCTTCACCAGGCTCAGAACCCTAACTGCCCAATCACAGACAAAGGATATGACAACCATGGTTCCTCCCTGCTGGATAAGGTATAAAGAGCTTATTTTGGAAATGAAGACACTCACCATTTAATGAAGTGGACCCTCTTATTTCCTTGCAGAACAACAAACCCAAAAGGAGTGAAGGCCAGAAAGGCAGCATTTCCTGACACATCCTGAAACACACAAAGACTTCTCTTTAGGGTGAGGCAGGCATGGACGGAAAAGGATGAAAAAGAGAAAGAAGGTGTTCAGTTGTTGCAGGGTTAAAGCTTGAAATTATTTGGCGGCTGGTCACAGAAAGCTGGCATTTGGAACTGGAAAATTATAGTTTTGAGGACAAGCATTGCCACTTGCCTGCTGTCTAACAGGCATGTTACTTACCTTCACTGAGCCTCAGTACCTTTACCTTTAAGTTGTACATTATAAATAATACTAACCTTAGAAGATTGTTATGAACATCAAAAGAGAAGAGCAACTCTTCATACATGGCTGGTGGGGTTGTAAAAATGGTGTAGCAACTTTGGAAAACAGTTTGACAGTTCCTTAAAGTGTTAAGCATAGAGTTAACGTAAGGACTCAGCAATTCCAATCCTAGGTATATACCCAAGAGAGACAAAAATATATGCTACATAAAAACTTGTACATGAATGTTCATTGCAGCATAGCTCATTAATAGCCAAAAAGTAGAAATAACTCAAATGTTCCTCAGCTTATGAATGGATAAACAAAATATGGTATAGTCACACAACGGAATATTATTTGGCAACAAAAAGGAACGAAGTATTGATGCAACATGTATAAGCCAAACATTTTGCTAAATGAAAGAAGTCAATTATAAAGACCACATATATGACTCCATTTCGATGAAATGTCCAGGATAAGTAAATCTATAGGAGACAAAAAGTCTATCAGTGGTTTCCAGTGTTTGGAGGGAAGTGGAAATGGGAATAACTGTTCTGTACATCTTTCTGGTGATGAAAATGTTCTAGAATTAGTTCATAGTGATAGTTGCATAACTTTGTGAATGTACTAAAACTCACTGAATTGCACTCTTTAAATGGTGCATTTTATGGTTTGTGAATGACATCTCAATAAGGAGGCCTGGTGATGCTGTAGGATAATCTCTGGACTGCTAACCACAAGGTTGGCAGTTCAAACTCACTAACTGCTCTGTGAGAGAAAGATGAGGCTTTCTGCTCTCGTAAAGAGTTACAGCCTCAAAAACTCTATATAAGGTTGCTATGAGTTGGAATCGACTCAATGGCAGTGGTTTTTTTTGTGTTGTTGTTTTTAAGATGTTATCTAAAACAGAGAAAAGATGACCATTATTGTCACTATGATGGCCCTATGATCCTGAGTTTCCTCAAGAAAGTTTAGCTGAAGAAACACCAAGAAGCAACTGGTGAAGTGAACCATCATCTCCGTCTTGTGGTGCTTGAGTTGACAGAGCTAACAGAGGAGCTCTGGTTACCTGTCACCATTAGCTTGTAAGCTCCAGGGTGAGCAAAGTAGGGAGGAGGAGGAGGTGGAGGTTCCCTCAGATGGGAAAACGAGCTCCCTGAGGACCAGGCCTTTCTCAGGGCTGGGCTGGGGCATAGAGTTGGGGTCGATGGGTGGTGTGCTCTATCAGGGACTCTCTTGGTGAGAGGGGCCTCAGGTGAGAATTTGCCCTGTCAGGCTATATGGAAGATGATGGAGACAGTAGTACTGAGTGTGTTGAGGTGGCCATAAAATGATGCCAGGACACTTGTGAAATGAACGGCCTTGCTGGACAGTTGTCTGAGCCACAGCTTAGGTGGGTGCTGTGGAGTCAGGGTCAGACACCTGGCGTAAGGCATGTGAGGGACACCCTGGCTGTGAGGACAGGCTAGCCTCCCACCTTCAGAATTTTCCGACCACTCAGATCTTTAGCTTGCCTGGTTCTAGGAGGAGCAGAGCCTCTGCAGGGCCTCATGAACCTTGCCTCAAGGTAAGATACAGTTTTGCCTGGAAACTGTCTCTTAGAGTCAGTGTTCCCAGTGTGAGCATCTGAACCCAAGGAAAAAGCCAAGAATGTGTTTTGCAAACAGTTTCAATTAATATGTTATTATTATTGTCCTTTCCTTTGGGTCTACTGGAACTCAGACATTTGGCTGTAAGCACAATGCCATTCAACACATGGGCCTGATGAAAAGCTGTTTAAAAATAACCTGAATGGAGACACTGCAGAGCCACAGGGCTGGATTTCCTCTTGCCTGTCATCGGTGCTTAGTGGTGGTTATTAATATCTGAACACCAGGCACTGCTCACAAACATCATTCCTGCCAGGAGGCACAAGGGCTAAGCTGGCAGACTTGACAGATATAGGTGAGGGCAGGGTGGCCTTGTGGGGAGAACACCTAGGAGAGATGGTGAAGGAGGGCTCTGCTTAGACAGAGGCAAGTCACCAGGAGGCCTCTGCTCAGGGTTCAGACAGGACCCAAGGAGGTGCTAAGACTGTAGGCTTAGACAGAGACGTGATGGTGGAGACCTTGTCTCATTTGTACTGGTACAGAACAAGCCAGCAGGGAATGCTTAGCAGATGAATGTTTAAAACAATGGGATGGGTTACAGGGATCAGTGTGTCCATAGTGGGGGAAGGACAGATGTGAGCAAGAAGGCTCAAGGGGTAAGACATGCTCTGAAACAGAGAAGGAAGGGCAGTGGGAAGGACAGACTGAAGGGTCAGGTCTGCAGGAGGGTTGTGGATGGCTTGAAGGAATGGGGAAAGATGTGGTGAAGGGAAGCTGAGGGACAAGCAGGGAAGGTTGGTCTGCTTCTTACACCCCTGATTCATGAGGCAATGACAGGGCAGCACAGTGCCTGAACCATCATCACCCCAGAAGGGCTCTGGGTACAGACCACTTAGGTGCAGGTCCTGGGTCTGCTTAGTAGGTATTCAGTACAGGTTAGTTATATAATGTTGTTCCATGCCGTCAAGTCGGTTCCAACTCATACCGACCCTGTATAGGGTTTCCACAGAGTGGTTGGTGGATTTGAACCACTGGCCTTGCTGTTTAAACCAACCTTGCAGTCTAGTGTTTATCCTACAGTGCCATCCCAGGAGTCCTAGCTATGTTATACTCAGCTGTTATGTTTTTGTGTGCCTTTTGTCCATTCCAATTCACAGTGACCCCACAGAACAGAGTAGAACTAGCCTATAAAGTGTCCTAGGCTGTCATCTTTATGGGGCCAGATCACCTGATCTTTTCTCCCGTGTAGATGCTGGTGGGTATGAACCACCACCCTTTCTGTTAGACCAGCACTTAACCACTGTACCACCAGGGCTCTTTTCAATGTTATAAAACCCCATATACCAAAATCCACTTCCATTGAGTCAATTCCAACTAATAGTGGCTTACCATAGAGCTTTCAAGACTCCAAATCTTTACGGGGCTAGACAGCTTCATCTTTCTCCTGAAAAGCACCTGGTGGACTTGAAGTGTCCACCTTGTGGTCAGCAACCCAATGCCTAACACTGGCATCACCACCAGCGTTCCTTAAAACTCACATAGCTGCTACTCATTAGCTGAGCTTGTTGAGCTCAACACAAAACCCGTTTTAAAAACTACCATTTGATTATTTTTCCTGCTGATTAGGATACAGGAGCATGGGAAGTTGGGGTAGAAAAGGAGAAGTCACTCATTGTTTGGGGACCACAGAGAAGGGAGATTTGGGTGACACATGAAACTGAAGTGAACAGAAAGGGAAGGTGTTGGAGGAGGCAGTGACGCAGTTACAGACCTTCTAGAAGAGTTCACCTCAGTGACAGGCCTCCGTCGGGCCAGAGCAAAGGGAAGTGAAGGTCTGCCATGAGGCAGCCCTGGTTGGCGCTGTTGTTCAGACTCCTCAGGCCTGGCGTCTGAGTGGAGGCAGATGTTAGAGTTAGAGGGGAACAGCGTCTTCTGACCAGACTAGCTGATTTGGAACTGGGAATAAGCCCTGATGATTACCCACATCAAGAGCTCTAGTGGCACAGTGGTTAAGTACTCTGCTGCAAACCAACAGGTCGGTTGTTCAAACTCACACAGTGACTCTGTGAGAGTAAGACTTGGCTATCTGCTTCCATAAAGATTACAACCAAGAAAACCCTATGGAGCAGGTCTGCTTTGTCACGTGGGCTCACCATGAGTCAGAATGGACTCAACAGCTCCACCGCATTGCAATCAGTAATAATCAGACCTTGAACAATCTCAGTTCCATCTCTCTCATGTAGGAAGCATGTCTGTAATCATGCATGCTTCAAATGCAACAGACATAGATGAAGGATGCTGCAAAGCTCACTCAGGCAAACATCCATAAAGGGGGGCAGGCAGCCGGGATGTTTGTTTCTTGTCTCTGGCACATGAGGCTCTGTAACCAGTGGAAAGCGGGACTTGGCACTACAGTGAGAACTCTCACATCTGTACTGGCATGAAAATACAGACAGGCAGCCACGCTGCCACTTGCTCTGGAGCTCCCCCAGTTTCTTCTGTCTAACATGTCATTCTCACTGGGAGCCTGCCCTTGGGATTTGTGTGCAAAATAACAAGTTACGTGACAAAAAGAGAAGGAAATGAGGCTGAGGAGATTAGTGGCACAGACATAGTAACTGGTTTCTCAGGTCTTCCATCTTATACAATGGTGTCTATCTTTTCTCCCTGTCCTTCCCAACCTGATGAAATCAGCTTCCATGGGACTGAGGCTTTAATGGATCTGGGAGACATGGGCTTTGACAGCTACACTGTGGATACCGCCAGCCTCACTCTACATCAGATAAAAGAAGACTCTAGTTTCCGTCTACAGTTGTGAGTTTTAAGAAAAAAAGTTTAACATTTTTCGTCCAGCCTTGGTTTTGTATCCAACTCTGCTTCTATTTTACCCTTTGACTTAACTTCTCTTAAGTTTTCTAATTTGTAAAATGAGGACAGTAAAACCTACCTTGAGAAATACTGCTTCCATCTGATTTTAGAGATAAGGCCGATATGCCTTACTCTAAAGTATGAGAGTCATGGCTATGAGAGTTAAGGTTTTCCATCACCTTGACTGGGCCAGGCTTCTCAGTGGAATAGTAGTAGTTAAGATGCAGTTATCAGCCATGATGAGATCTAATTAATATAATGTCTTCACTGCCATGATAGATCTGCTATGAGCAACCAGTCAATTGAAAGGAAGT